TTGTGCGTTTGTGAAACACCTGTGCAACCTTTGTATGGCCCCGGTATCAGACCACACTGCTGCACTAACTTCAGCCAAACTCCAGCAGGTGAAACTAGCAGCCCACACTGTTACCCACCTGATCAGATCAGGAAGTCTGATTTAAAAAGTTCCTTTGATTCTTTTTAGCTGTGTGTGTAAAATAATTCACACAGTGATGTCTGGTAAAGTCCCCTAACCTGCTGTAGCTTAATCAAAGTAGTCACAGCGCCTGAGAATCTTTCTTTAGGACGAACGATGCATTTTATCAGCTTTGTGTCTGACTGTCTCTGCTGTTGTCTGTGCTGCTGTCTGTGCTGCTGTCTGTGCTGTTGTCTCTGCTGTTCTCTCTGCTGTTGTCTGTGCTGCTGTCTGTGCTGTTCTCTCTGCTGTTGTCTGTGCTGCTGTCTGTACTGTTGTCTCTGCTGTTGTCTGTGCTGCTGTCTGTACTGTTGTCTCTGCTGTTGTCTGTGCTGCTGTCTGTGCTGTTGTCTCTGCTGTTGTCTGTGCTGCTGTCTGTGCTGTTGTCTCTGCTGTTGTCTGTGCTGCTGTCTCTGCTGTTGTCTCTGCTGTTGTCTGTGCTGCTGTCTGTGCTGCTGTCTGTGCTGTTGTCTGTGCTGCTGTCTGTGCTGCTGTCTGTGCTGTTGTCTCTGCTGTTGTCTGTGCTGCTGTCTCTGCTGTTGTCTGTGCTGCTGTCTGTGCTGCTGTCTCTGCTGTTGTCTCTGCTGTTGTCTCTGCTGTTGTCTGTGCTGTTGTCTGTGCTGCTGTCTCTGCTGCTGTCTCTGCTGTTGTCTCTGCTGTTCTCTCTGCTGTTGTCTCTGCTGTTGTCTCTGCTGCTGTCTCTGCTGCTGTCTGTGCTGCTGTCTGTGCTGCTGTCTCTGCTGTTCTCTCTGCTGTTGTCTCTGCTGTTGTCTGTGCTGTTGTCTGTGCTGCTGTCTGTGCTGCTGTCTCTGCTGTTGTCTGTGCTGTTGTCTCTGCTGTCGTCTCTGCTGTCGTCTGTGCTGTTGTCTCTGCTTTTGTCTGTGCTGTTGTCTCTGCTTTTGTCTGGGCTGTTGTCTCTGCTGTCGTCTCTGCTGTCGTCTCTGCTGTCGTCTGTGCTGTCGTCTGTGCTGTCGTCTCTGCTGTCGTCTCTGCTGTCGTCTGTGCTGTTGTCTGTGCTGTCGTCTGGGCTGTTGTCTCTGCTGTCGTCTCTGCTGTCGTCTGTGCTGTTGTCTCTGCTCTTGTCTCTGCTGTCGTCTCTGCTGTTGTCTCTGCTGTCGTCTCTGCTGTTGTCTGTGCTGCTGTCTGGGCTGTTGTCTCTGCTGATGTCTGTGCTGTTGTCTGTGCTGTTGTCTCTGCTGTTGTCTATGCTGTTGTCTCTGCTGTTGTCTGTGCTGCTGTCTGTACTGTTGTCTCTGCTGTTGTCTCTGCTGTTGTCTGTGCTGCTGTCTGTACTGTTGTCTCTGCTGTTGTCTGTGCTGTTGTCTCTGCTCTTGTCTGTGCTG